CAACCTAACTTTATAGTGTAGATGAGACCTGAATGAGTCCAAATGCTTGGGATGTCAAAAGCAGGCATATCAGAGGCAGTGGGGGGGGGGGGGAGCAGGAACCAGTGCTGGGTGGGATAGCTTAGAAGCTCGTTCCTCCCAGCACCATCTCTGCCTTCTCCCTGCTGCTGCCTCTATCAGAGGTAGCAGTGGAGAGGGAGGCAGGGGAGGCTGATCTGGTAGCAGCCCCGCAGACAGGGACTACTGCCTGTAAAGCACCTCTTGGCTGCAGACAGGGGCTGCTTGACGGGCAGCAGCCCCTGTCCACACAGGGTCCCAACTTCCCACTGGGTCACGACCCCCCACAGACAGTGGCTGCTACTGGCTGGACAGGCAGCCTGGATCAGTCCAGGCTTGTGCTGGGTTGAGGACCAAACCCTGCTGCAACTCTGCAATTTAAAACACACAAGGAGCTGAGGGGCAAACTGCCCGGCTGCTACTGACTTTTAAATTCCAGAGCTGTGGTGGGGTTTAGTCCCAGTGCTAGCCGGGACTGGGCTGGCTGCCATCCCCTATCAAGTAATCAATACAAATTCTATCAACTATCTGATTACTAAAATAATCTAATTTTAACATCCCTAATAAACTGTGTACATTTTGGTAGTAACTGCTTTTCTAAGACAAAAACAAGACAGAAGGGGGAAAATGATTATTCACGAACTTGCACGTGCAGAAGTCATGAGTTGCTTCAGGAGAGGTCACAAAATCCAAATTAAGTTTTGAAGAATCTCTGAAACATCACGAAGCTGACAAACTTTTTTTAAGTGAATGTTACCTAGTCAAAGAAGCAGTAGATGAACCAATTTTAACCAACTCCAGTATTAAGAGACCATTCTAAAACCCTCCCAAAACTACTTACTTAAGGAACAGGAAGTTGCTATTCAGTAGGATCCAAATATAGTGACAAAATCTCAAAACCCATTCATATTCTCTCAGGCATATGTGAAATGCTTGTCTAACTTTAAGGCTGCACACTTTTTATTTCTTTGTTATTGCTAACAGGAGTTGTAAAACACTATTTCAGAAAAACTGTTGAGGATACTCTTCTGATTAGGGATGTTTATTCAATTAACCAATATCCGTCGAGTAATCTCATGAATTCTTATCAGTTAGTCGACTATTCTATAGTCACTGGGGGTGGGGCCGGCAGTCAGTGCGCTCTGGCCTCACTCTCAAGAAGACCCCTGCCAGGTGGGAGCTGGTCTGTGAGGGGAGCCAGTTAAAAAGAAAACCAGCTCCCTTTGGAGATTGGCTGCCTGTCGTCCTGTGCTGCTGCCTCTGATAAAGAGGCAGCAGCGCGGGATGGCAGCAATCCCTGTTTAGGAGGTGGTCTGAGACCTGGGATCCGATGTGAGCCGGAACTGAGCTAGGCTGCCTGCCCATCCAGCTCCTTTAAAAGCGGAGCTGCAGCAGATGTAGGTCCTGGACTTGTCGCAAGTCAGGACTGAGCAAGGCTGCTGGCCAGCCTGCTAAAAAATTTACTGGCAAGTGTGTGGGGGCGGGAAGGGAGGGAAATGTGTGTAGTCTATAGCATTAACCTATAAGCTTTTGCTTATCAGTTAATCGACTACACTTTTACATCCCTATTTCTGATCAGGCCAAGATCTCACCAGCAATGTTCCCTCTAAGCAGTGAACTTGTGTGGCCACGCAAGAGAGATTCAAATGACGCTCAAACTATTAGCAGAGCACCCACAGTTAGGTTTTTTGTTTCTACTGGCAGTGCATATTCACACATGCTTTGGGGCACAAATTTATTCTGCATATGGATGGAATAAATCTGTGTGGATGTAAAAGATTAGAGGGAACATTGCTTATAAGCCCAATGAGAATAATGTTGAAGAACCTCCTTTAAAAGTTTCATTGAACATTCTTTTCCGATCTTTTGCCATTCTGGTATATGGTCTGTATGCTGAGTGTAAGAAAATAAAAGGATTGAGTGGTGCCAAGTGACAGATTTAAGACAAGCAAATAATCTGATCGTTGGTTTTGAAAATGGAGTAAAATGATTAAGCTAACATTTAGCCAAAAGGAAGGTTGTACTGTTCCCACTCACCTATCTCTGCAGGCTGAAGCAGCCTTCCTTTGAATAATTGCCTGATCTTGTTAAACAGTGCATTATCAAGTCCTAGAACAAGGAGCCTTATGGACAAATGTGTTCTTACCACCACCAATCTGACATTCTTGAACCATTTTCAGATTGCTGAAATGACTCTGGGGACACTGGTGATGAAAGTAAAAATCAAAACACAAAAATCCCACAGCCTTTTCCTATTCTGTTTTTTTGACAAATCTACAAAAGAACTTAAGCACTGAAGTTTCTAGGGGAAATAAAAAATTATGTGTTCTTTATATTCACTTAATGGGGTTTGAAGTCTCAATGTCCAGATGCCATCTGGCCTACAGTGTCTAATTTGGTTCATGCATATTATGGTACAGAAAGGACTGCAAGTTTAGTGTTCCCTTTTAGGACAAGTCTGCTGCTAATGCCATTATTTTTGAGATCTGAATTCACAATACTCTCTGAAGATGGCAAATCAAAGTAAACTTTAGTGAGATGGTTAGCTAAAGGTGAATCATGCAGATCAGTGAACAAATATAATTAGACGGCTATTTCTTGGCTGACATATTTGTATGATCTCAAAGGATCATTCGAAAAATGTCTATTTGGCAAAAACGTAAGAGCTCCATTTCTTCCTCCAAGGGATCTAATCAAGAGGTGAAAACATAGCTGGACCACTTAGAAATAGTGATCATAATTTAACATCGCTGTAAGGAGAAAAACACCACAGCAGCCCAACACTGTGGCATTTAATTCCAGAAAGGGAACCCATATAAAAAATGAGGTGACAAACAGAAATTAAAAAGGTACAGTGCCAAAAGTAAAATCCCTGCAAGCTGCGCAGAAACTTTTCAATAGACACCATAATAGAGGCTCAACTTAAATGTATAGTCAACTATGCGATGAACCAATAAGCCTAGGCTTATTGGTTAATCTTGTTGACTACATACATTTCCCCCCCCTTGTTGCCTCTATCAGAGGAAGCAAGCGGGGAGCAGGAGCCAGCTCCTGTGAGGAGCTGGCTTAAAAGCTGGCTCCCCATGAGCACCAGATCCACCTGAGAGGCAGCAGCATGGGGGGGTGGGAGGGAGGAGCCAGGGAGCTGGCAAGGTAGGCTGCTGTATAGCCTGGGCCCACAGAGGACAGAGGCTGCTTCACGGCAGCAGCCTCTATGAGGGGGAGGGGGTCCCAAGCTCCCTGCAGACAGGGGCTGCTGCCACCCATGCAGCACCACGGGGCAGCAGGCAGCCGGTTTGTGCAGGAAGTTGGTTTTTAAACTTTGTGAACTGGCTCCGTCTGCCACCCTGCAGAGTGGCAGGGGGGTACTGGCTGCCAGCAACGCCCTTGGGGCCAATCAAATAGTTGTGTAACCACTGAGATTTCATGCGGTTACACAACTAGTCAACTACATGATAGCCAACATCCCTAAAGAGAATAAAAACACAAGCACCACTATGGCTTAACAATCAAGTAAAAGAAGCAGAAAGAGATAAAAAGGCATCATTTAAAAAGTGGAAGTTAAATCTAGTGAGGAGTATAAACTTTGTCAACTGAAGTGTAAAAATATGATAAGCCAAAAAGGAATTTGAAGAACAGCTAGCCAAAATCTAATAGCAAATCTTTTTTTAAGTACATCAGAAGCAAGAATCCTGCTAAACAACCAGTGGGGCCATTGGATGATCAAGATGCTAAAGAAGTACTCAAGGAATGATAAGGTAATTGCAGAGAAACTAAATTAATTTTTTGCATTAGTTTTCATGGCTGAGGATGCTAGGAGATTCCTAAACCTGAGTCATACTTTTTAGGTGACAAATCTGAGGAACTGTTGCAGATTAAGGTGTCAGAGGTGGTTTTGGAACAAATTAATACACTAAACAGTAACAAGTTACCAGGATCAGATGGCATTCACCCAAGAGTTCTAAAATAACTCAAATGTAAAATTGCAGAACTTTTAACTGTGGTTTGTAACTTATGCTTTAAATCATCTTTTGTACCAAATGACTGGAAGACAGCTAATGTGATCCTGTCAATTACAGAGCAGTAAATCTAACAACAGTACCAGGCAAATTAGTTGAAACTATAGTAAAGATCATAATTGCCAGACACATAGATGAACATGAATTGCGTTGGAAAAAAAATCAAGATGGTTTCTGTAAAAGGAAATCATGCCTTACTAATCTACTAGGGTTCTTTGAGGGCATCAATAAGCATGTGGCCAATGGGAATTCATTGGGTATAGTGTACTTAGATTTCCAGAAAGTCTTTGACAAGATCCCTCATCAAAAGCTCTTAAGCAAAGAGAGTTGTCATGGGATAAGAGGCAAGGTCACTCATGGATTGATAACTGGTTAAAAAGAGGTCAACAACCTTTCAGATGTGGATTGCTGAGATTTGACTTATTCACCTCTATGTATGGGGTCCAAATGCCGGTGATACCTTTTAAAGTCAATGACAGTCCTACTAACAGCAGCTTAATTAATAAAGAAAGATGCAGAGCTTACCTTTTAGTGCAGGGGTCAGCAACCTTTCAGAAGCGGCATACCAAGATTTAACTTATTCAAGGATCTGTGTGCCACGGGGAGGGGGAAGGAAAGGGGAGGCAAGGGCAGGCTGGGTACAGTGATGTTATTTTCTGAATCAGTTGCAGACAGGGAAAACGGTTTAATTTAAATTATGAAACACATTAAGCATTTTAACTCTCATGTGAAGTTTATCAAACTTCATTTTAAGTAAAGTAAAATATGTCCAACACAAAAGGCTTCCATGTTTTCTTTATTTATGGCAGGAGTGGGGAACGTTTTTGGATGGGAGGTAGCTGACCCACAGGAAAAAAAAAAGCAGATGGGGACCACACAAGTGAGAATAATAATAAAAAAAAAATCCCAAAACTTGATGATTACCTGTTTGGTTCATTCTCTTTGGGGCACCTAGCATTGACCATTGTCGGAAGACAGGATACTGGGCTAGATGGACCTTTGGTCTGACCCAGTATGGCTGGTCTTATGTTAATCCTAGAGGAGAAATTTTCCAAATTAATTCAAGGAAGAAGTCTGATCCTCACAAACGTCTATGTCTGTGAAGGAGACTGCCTTCAAAATCCTCTGTTCCCATTGAAGATTGAGCCAAGTTCAGCAGCTACAAAAAACTGAACAGCTTTCTCACAGAAAAATCCTTTTGGATCAGAGTAGAATGATTTAGAAAAGTCCTGATTCATTAGAGACAGTAGCAAGTCTGCTTTTGCAACTGGTACTACCAAAATTTGTATAGGAAACCAATGGTGTCTATTACATTTAATTACAGGATTTTTATTGCTGTAGTGCCTCCATGCTCTAGTTATGGACCAGAACCCCACTGTGCTAGATGCTGTAAAAAAAAAAAAAAAAAAACACCCACAGAACAAAGATGGTTTCTGCACCAAGGAACTTGCAGTGTAAATAATTTCAATGGTATTTATGCCCTGGGGATCTACAGATGGCCAGCATCTTTGAAAAGCAGGCCATGTATATTTAGATGCCTAACTTAAGGCAAAATTTGAAAATGTGGGCTTTTCTTTAATATTGGTTAATTAGTCAAATATTTTAGCTTCTTAATATGCTACTCTTTTCTCAATTCCACTCAAATTTATTAACTTCTCCGGATATCAAGGTTATCAAAACCAAACACAGAATTCTAGGAACAACCTCTGTAATGTCCCTTCTCGGGGTCATGATATGACACTGTCCAAAAATTCCTTATTTATGCTGCCATATCTCACAGCAAACTTTATCATCTCCAAATCTGTAATCACCCCAAGAATCTCAGTATTTCCTGTTTTCCATCCTTCCTGCACTGAATATTTTGTGCTGCAAATTGTTTTCCCATTTGCATCTTTTCAGCTCACTCAAGTATACTGGCCAAAAATTTCCAGATGCCTTTGTACTAATCTATTTGTTCTCACAAGTATTAACAAAATCTCCAAACTTAATTGCATAATAAATTGTTCAAGACTTTAAATGAGACCGTGTATAACACCAATCTCTGAAGCACTCAATAACTCCTCACAACCCAATGCTTAACATTTAAAAGCTTTTTCAACAAGATTTTAAACCACTACAACAATGCTCATACCCAAGTCAATTTGAAAAATACAAATAAGATTGAGATGCTATTTAAAATTTTTTAATCAAATTCAGGTACTTCATGTCTATTGCATTCTGTGTGTCCAGTAATTTTGAAATTCTAACAACAAAAGTGACCAGACTTGCCTGCCATGATTTGGTTTTTTTATAATTCTCTAGTATATGTTATTCATGGTTCTGTAATTCTCTAGCCGTTTACCTGGTTAATATTTGTTCTTGGTATCGGCATAAGACAATACGCAGTAATAGCAAGGTTTACATCCCCCATCCCACCACCACACTGTTTTGGAGAGTGGATAGAATCAATTGCACATTTAACTTACTAATTTCCCATAGTTTTCAAAAATAATGGAATTTCACTAGGATTTCAACAACTTCCACCCCACCATCAACTTCAGCCTGGATAAGTCCACACGAGAAATCCACTTCCTTGACACCACAGTACAATTAGATGGACAAATTTCCATCACCCTATATCGGAAACCTACCCACCACTACACTTAACTTCATGCCTCCAGCTTATCCCAGAAACATTTTTCAATCTATTGTATACAGCCACACCCTTAAGATACAACCGGGTTTGCTCCGATCCCACAGACAGAGACTAACACCTACAGGATCTATATAGAGCATTCCTAAAACTGAAATACCCACCTGGAGAAGTGAAAAAACAGATGAGCCAAAAGAGAGAACAACAGAATTCCACTTGTCATTACTTACAGCCCACAACTTAAAACTCACCAACACATTATCCACAACCTATCTTGGAAAATTACCCCTCACTCTCACAGACCTTGGGGAAAAGGCCTATTCTCGCTTACAGACAACCCCCCCAACCTGAAACAATTTTTTCCTGGTAACCATGCTACACAGCTACATCATAGGCATCCAGGAACCCAGCCCTGCAATCAGCCTCAGTGTCAACTCTGCCCACATATCTATACAAGCGAATTCATCACTGGACCCAACCACACCAGCCACCAAATCAGAGTCTCATTTAACTGCACATCCAGTAATGTGATCTATGCCAGTGTTTCTCATCCAGTGGTTCAAGTACCCTTAGGGGTACTCGACAGAAGTCTGGGGGTACATCAACAACTGAAATTTGGAAAAAACTGTATTTGTGTTTTAAGTTTTATAGCACTTTATTATTTTTGTACATTTTACACCCAAAAATTTCATCGCCCACCTGGCTACAATTAAGTTGTCTAAACAAATGTGTTGCAATGGTAGAAAAAAAACTGTGTGTCTGAAAACTGTAAGTACTGGGGATAATTATATATATATTTTTAAAGGGGGTACTTTATAAAAAGGGTTGAGAAACACAGATTTATACCATCAAATGCCAGCAATGCCCCACTGCAATATATACTGGACAAACTGGACAGTCCCTATGAGAAAGAATTACTGGACACAAATCAAATATCCGAAAAGGGAACACACAAAAACCTGTTGAGGACCACTTTAACCTACCTGGACATTCAAAGGGATCTCCAAGTTGTGTTTTGTTATAGACCAATTCCACAAACCAAATATACAGAGAAGGATTGGAACTCCACTTCATTCACAAGTTTAATTCTCATGCAGATGCTTTAAATCGCGATACTGGATGGCTGGGACATTCTCAACCAACCAAACAATGAAGGTGCCACTGGTTCTTGAGGTCGGCGTAGAATCTGTTAGTACTCTTCCTCTCCAAGTGCAAATTAATGGTTCTTATCTCTCTTAACTATCTAGTCTTTAAGGTGCTAATAGACTATCTATTGTTTTTCAGTTTTTCCTGTTACCGCCTGGCTCGGCTTCCCCTTTGAAACTTATCTTCCCACTGCCTCTTTTTCTCCTTCCCAACCCTCCTTCCCCCATCTATTCTTGGTTCTGGAAATCCAACACTCTGGTCAACTGAAGAAGTGGGCTGTGCCCATGAAAGCTCATGATACATCTACATGTTTTGTTAGTCTTTAAAGTGCTACCAGACTATTTGTTGAAAAATAATGGCGTTTGTTTTTAAAATACTGCCCAGTGTAGGAAGCATAATATTGCCTCATCTCTAAAGCTGATGACATTGGAACAGCAATTAGTCTAAGGAAGGGTAGGATACGGCCTGCAAGCCAGATCTAGCCCATCAAGACAGAAGATCTGGCCTGCATCAGATGGACACACCATCGCCTGTGGGTTAGGGAAATCATTGAGTAGTGGGATCGCATTGTCATGCTGTGAGGTGAAGACCAGTGGCTACATAAAGCAACCTTCTTGGAGCCGTATGCTGAGCTGGTCCCCATACTGCAGTGCTAGGACACCAGAATGAGAGCTGCCCTTTTAGTAGAAAAGCATGTGGCAATTGCAGTGTAGAAGTTGGCAACCCTTGATTGCTATTGGTCTGTTGCAAATAAGTTTTTTGAGGGGGGGGGGAATTTGGGGCTGCATTATTACAAGTTTGCAGGGAAAGACGACACATTATGCTATGAGGACCATAACTCTGGAAATGTGTACGACATTGTGGCTGGCTTTGCAGATGGACTTTCCTAACTGTGGTGGGGCAATCGATGGCACACACATTCCCCTTATAGTGCCATCCCACTTTGCCACAGAGTACATCAGTCATAAGGGGCACTTCTCCAGCTCATCGTGGGCATTTCACAAATGCGAGGTGGTCTGGAAAGGTGCATCATGTACGCATCTTTAGGTATACTGTAGTGATGGTTGATCATGGCCAGCTAAGATGCCACTATGAGAACATTCCATGCTGAGCCAGCGATCAGGAAATGGAATTTAAAGTTCCTGAGTCTTGTGAGGGTAAGGGGCGGATTACTGTGTAAAATAAGTAGTTGGATAACCAGGTAACCACTGAAAAGTTCAGCAGTTACACACACCCACAGCGCAGGGTGGCAGCCAGCCCGCTGGCTTTTAAGCTGGTTCCTGGCATGTACTGGCTCCCGCCCAGCCCTGCTGCCTCTGTATCAGAAGCAGTAGCATGGGGTGGCAGGCAGCCCTCCCCGGAGCAGGGTGGAATCCTGCCAATAACTGTTCATAATAACAGATAAGCCCAGGCTTATTGGCTAACCATGTAAACAGTTTCCTATTACTTCCTTACTGTGTACCTGGCTGCAGGGCAGCAGAGTTCAAAGCACTAGCCAGAATGGATACTTGGGCAATGTGGTAAACACTACTGGAGTTTTGTTTCCAAAAGGTGATTTTTGACAACAAAACTTAGTTGTGTAGACATGTCCTACATGGGTGTCTTCACTGAAAAGTTAACTCAGGTGACTTGCACCGAGGTCTCAGCAGCATGTCTTATTTTACATTTAGCAGGTACTACAGTCTAGTAAAGTATCTGGGAAAATGTCCGCTATCACTGAAAGAAACCTAAGAAACGTCAGTGATTAGTTTTATCTTCATTATTTGCCTTTTTTTAAAAACTGAGAATTCTATTCTTCCATCTCTGTTAGTTGATGAATATTGCAAGTATGAAAATATTCCTACATGTAGCATGCTACTAAAGTTAGTTTATGCAATATGGAAACTGGAGAGAGATGAGAATAATGTGAGTTTTACTGTTTTCCTCACAAATTATTTCAAAGACAGGACATTCCTTTTCCAATAATAAAACAGTTACCCTTTTAAAGAATCTGTCCCCTTTAGTATAGCGGTATTTGAAATTGACATCTAGTTTTCCCACTTACAGTCATAATGCACATCTCTACCCTGTATCCTTCAGTAAACTACTTTATATTTACACAGAATTCATGCTTCCTAAATATTCATTTCATAAAAAGAGTCAAGGCAAAATGTTAAACTAATTTCCTTCAACCATATCTTCATTTAT